AATGTCCTTCACTTCGGTCCGCTCTCTGATCACGTTATTGTGGATGTGATCGCAGCGTGAGATTCCCAATATTCTTTTTTCCTTCACTCTCACGGTGACAGACAGCTGGCGCTCTGCAGCTTTAGACCAAGTCTCACAGTCATCCAATATTGCCGACCGGCTTGTAAGAGGTTGAAGATGAAGTGCACGCGAATTCCTTTCCTGATATTACCTAGGTGGATGTCCTTGATGGAATGGAAAATGCGCCAACCGGCCCTGTTTCTCAGTTGAATTTCTCCGGTCTGATCATACCCATGTTGATCACATGGCTAAGGTAGATGTATTTATCGACCTCCTCGATGCTTTCACCCGAGCCTTCGGCAGAGGATCTAATTACAGTATCTTAGTTTTAACTGTTTGATTCGCAGTGTTTTCCCCGGGCTCTTGCAGCATGCTTTGTAGCTGATTGGCGTTTTCCGCAAACAGCACATCATCACAACTAGCCTTAGGTAACTGTGCTGTTCATCATTGATGTTAATCCTACCTTTCTACTCCATCTTTTGGAACACTATTTCCAAGCGGACGGTAAAAAGTTTGAGCAAGATTATCCCCTTGTTTCACACCCCTCTCTACCGGAATCTGGTAGCGGTGTGTCGAGCAGCGCGATGTTTGTGAAGCCGCCAGAGTTCGCTTCCTTTGGCAGGTTGATGTAATAAGTGTCGATGTCCTGTTCTGCCGACACTGCCTTATACTCGACAATTTGGAACGCTTTCTCGTTGTCTACGTTGGCCATATACACAAATAGATTAAATTCCCTTACACACACGTGGGGCTGATTTAATATAAATGTGTTATCATTTAGCTCCTTCAGAATCCTACCTGTCATCTTAGCTGCTGTTTGTCAGGACTCTTTGATAGTATGCTGATGATTATTTTGGTGACTGTAGATTTGTGAGATTAGGCGGTAGTTCTTGAGATCTTAATTCTTGTCCTTTTTGAACAAGATTCTTTTCTACTCATTCCATCTTGATGGTATCTTTTCTCTTTTCAGGTAGCAACTGATTCTCTATGCTAGAGCCCTCCGCAGCATCTGGCCGCCTGATCTGATCGTTGCAGTTGTGAGACTATCTCTCTCAGTTTCATATTCCTTTCACTTATTGCGCAGCATGTCGCACTTCACTTATGAGGACCGATGGGACACTTCCTTCTGGCTGTTGAAGTGATAGTGGTGAGAGGCGGACGCAGACGCAAAGAGGTGGATGAAAACGTTCTTACAGACTGACTGCAGCTGAGCCCTGTCAGACGTTAATGCAACATCACTCATTCTTCACGACATGACTGTCTTCTGATAAAGCGTTAACTGTCTCCTGTGTTGTCTGAGGCTTCTGGTCGGCTCTTTTCTGTCATTTTGGAAATCAGAGATTCTGAAAGTCTTGTTTCAGTTCCGTTTAATGAGCTTGCATAGAAAAGAATTTTCCACCGCGCCGGTCCCAGTTTTCATTCTCATCTCTAGCAAACTTTGTCTCTTCTGAGATCCTTCCTTGTGCTCTTTTTGATATTGCCACCTCGAGTAACTTTGTGCAGCGCATCAGTTTCTCGTCTAACTTCTCATATGCGTCGTCGCAGCTGCCCTCCATGTTGCAGTGTTCACTGGAAATGCGCACTTAGAGCCCCGCTTCGTCGAATGATTTCGGCCTTTGTCTGTGATTTCCCACCTGCAGGTAGCTAGCTTCTCTATCTCCTAGAAGATTAGCCTGGCCCTCACTCGTCTGTGGTCACTGCAGATGTTAGATGACGGCATTACCACTGTTAGATGATGCGGCGTTTATCCAACAGGATGAGGTCAGTCTCTTTCTTCCTCGTTCGTTGTGCGCGATCGATATTCACCTCTTGGTGGTCTTCTAAAACCATTTATTGCTAATGCATAAGTGTCTCGTTTCTGATATGGTAACCAGCAGATGTCGTTTCTTTGTTCACACTTTGGATTTCACCAGTTTTTGCTGATTACAAATCTGTTTAATTCCTCCACTCTTGTTCTCATATTCTCTTCATCTTAGCCAAATCGAACTACGGTATTTCCAGACGCCATTCATCTCCTTCCGCCGACATATTTAGCAAAGGCCAGAGATGTCACAGGCGATCCATGACCTTTTCTTTTCATCATTGGTTGGTTTAACGTTTCTTCTCTCACCAGTTTTCTACAGTTATAAGTGCAAGCAGCGACGAAAGTCTGGGTTCGTTTACCAGATAATAGTTTTTCACCTGCGATTCTTAGCAGCCGAAAGCAGTATTGAATGCCAAAGCTGATTCCTGAAGAAGTTAGGTGAGGTGTTGGAGTCGAATTTTACACGGCAAACAGTATTCTGGCAGACCATCCGCCGGCTCTGAAATGAAAAGAAGAACAGTCTCAGATTCTTGAGGAACAGGCCCGGACACCTTCTTACCAAGGATGATGATATTCTTTGGTGATGGGGGCAGTACTTTGAGGAACTCTTTAACTCTGCGCAACCGTAGGAAGACTCGCCTCTAGAGCAGAAGGGTACGGATATTACTATCTCTGTAGGTGAAATTACACAAACTGTGAAAAGCTTGAAAAATGGAAAAGCTGCTGGAATTGATGAAATCCGCTCTGAGGTGCTCAAGGCATTAGGCGAACAAAGCATGTGCTGGCTAACACGTGCCTGTGAAACTGCGATGACTGCAGAAAAGACATCAGCGGACTGGAGAACGGAAGTTATTGTACCCGTATTCAAAAAAGGAGACCAGAAGGAATGCTCCAATTATAGGGGCACTACGTTATTGTGCCTTCCAGGTAAAGTCTACCCAAAGGTGTTAGAAAGGAAGTGCCGTCAAATAGTTTACCTCAAGATCCAAGAAGAGCAGTGTGGTTTCCGGCCCGGTCGAAGCACCCCTGACTATATATTTGACCTGCGCCAGATGTTGAGAAATCGTAGGAGTATGCCCTTCCGGTGTACATGTGTTTTGTGGACCTAGAAATTGCCTATGACCGGATCCCACGCAGCAGTCTGTGGACAAGCCTTCGAGCATACGGAATACATGGCCAGCTGCTAAGGGCCATCCAATCACTGTATTCTGATAGCTGGTGTTGCGTCAGAGTAAATAGCGTTAAGTCGAAACCATTCAACGTTCGCACTAGTCTCCGCCAAGGCTGCGTCCTGTCCCCTATCCTGTTTGCGTTGTACATGAATAGAATAGTCAGGAGCTGCCAAGGCGATGAGTGTATCGGTGTAGGAGATGTGCAGACGAGAAGGTTGCGTTCTCGTTCTCCTGCCCGTTGCTCTCTTCAGATTAAGAGAGAGGCAGTGGAGGAGGTGAGAAGTTCAAGTACCTCGCAATCGTATTTACTAGTCATGGAAAATTTGAGGAAGAAATCGACCGGCGGATTGGAGTAGCCAGTGGCGTTCTGCGTGAACTAGCCCGATCCACTGCGACTAAAGCAGAGGTCAGTCTGTAAACTTAGCACTCGGTGTTCAAGTCGATCTTTATCCCCATGCTTACCTACGGCCATGAGTCGTGGACCATAATT